GTCTCCTCAAGATCTCCCCCTCCTTAGTTATAAAAAAAAAAAAAAAAAAAAAAAAAAACACATTGTGAAAATTAATAAACTAAATCTACACTATCATTATAACTAGAGCTCATAAAGTGTAATTTTCTCAAAACCATAATCCTATTATATTAACCCAACGGAGTAGCTCAAGTGACAAATAAGTTCTCTTTGTAGGGAAAACTTTTGGGATAACTCGAGTTCAATTTTCGCAAGTGACACCTCTTGGAGCAAGCGGGGAGCGGGAATTTAGCCGGGTAGACCTGAACCGTAAGACGGGTGGAGAAAGACCCAGAACACCCAAAAAATAATCCTATAATAATTATGACACCATGAATATTATTACAGTTAAATTTCTTAATAGCGTCATAGTCCAAAAAAAATTGTGATATGTTTACTTCAATTCTCCAAATTTCTTTTCCCAATTTTTCTTTTTCTAATTTTCCATTACCCATTTTATATTTTCATTAAATTCTCTATTTATTTTTCAAAAAAAAAAAATAAATTCAAATTAATAAAAACTTAACACCAACCCAACTAATTTGTGACTAACTATCTTATAAAAATATTTAGAAATTAATCCTCAACATACTAGCCTTCGAAACGGTAATATCCATGCAATTGGAGCAATAGCAAACTTATTTGCGAAAATTGGAATAAAAGTAAAATTAGCATTTGAATTGCAGCTCTTGCAATCCTATGTCAGAATTGTAATTTTTTTTTTTTTTTTTGGGTGCTTCTCTTTGTTTTCTGTTGACCTTTTTCATAATAATAATAATAATAATAATAATAATAATAATAATAATAATAATAATAATTATTATTATTATTATTATTATTATTATATTTTGAGATACAATTAAAACGGTAAGAACGTAAAGAAAATCATAATGAATTGCAAAAATGTCCGGTAGAACTCACTTTTGAAAGTGAAAGAATTGCAAGATAAATATTGAAGGTGTTTGGTAAATACTAGCTATTAGTTGATTGGATTAGTGTGTTTGACTAGTTGATAAATGAGCTGGTAGTTGATAACTGATTACATGCAAAATGACTTTCTCAAAAAGATGATCGAAAAAGCTGATTTGAACAACCTTTTGAATTTTAACATTTAGAGCAATAAGCTGTTACAAAAAAGCTAATTAATCAAACACTCATCGATTATTTAACCAAGTCAAACAGCTAATAGTGATCAAATAAGTCAAAATTGATTGATAAGCTAATGTGTTTACTATAACATATAATCTGTCTAACTCTTTACCCAAAAAAATAGAACCAAACAAACAAAGATTATTTAGAAATAATAAAGACAACATATGATGGCTGTGTCAAGTATTAAATTAAAGTATGTAATAGAATGAAAATATAAATATGAAGATATATTGATGGAGTATCAAACGGGGTGGGGTGAAAGATACAATACAGGGAGGAGAGCAAAACAATGATTCATTGTACCAGTCAGAGCCAATCTGTACAAGCAGCTGTCAAAGAAAAGAGCACAACTATTTTTCAATTTAAAAAAAAAAAAAAAAACACTTCAATTCATATATTTACACACACTGACACACATACATATTATGGCATAAGAGCATGCTTCATTGCTTCCAAGACTACTGGTTGAGGTAACACAATGCTTGACTGATAAAAGTTAACCAAATCCTAGTAAACTGTTTAGGAATTTAGCAGAGATCCAAAAATACAGCTGAAAAAAAAGGGTAACGCAGCCAAGATGGCTAAGGATACAAACTTGTAACCACAAGGTTACGAGTATGAATTCCAGCCTTCTTGGTTTGAGCCGGTCAGCTATGGGCAACCTAGACTGATTTACCTCCTTGTGGTTTTTTGCTAGCTAGAGTCACAAGGCGGGGTTTACCCTGACTGCGAGTTTCCCTACGAAACGAAGACAGACTTTAAACACAACACTTTTCATGAGAGCAAATTTATCAATTCTAGTGGTAAGGCGGGAAAAGAAAGTGTCGTGTTCACACATTTACAATCTTTTTTTATAGGGTGACGCAAAGATTCGAACCTATGACCTTTGATATGGGATTGGCTCTGACACTATATTGAAGCATGGGCTTCATCTCAACTAAAAGCCTAAACAGATAGTTGGATTGCACATTTTATGTTTATATATTATATGCTCAACACAGTGATGCGCCTGTTCTATGCAACCTTTCTATTGCTTTTTATCAAGGAGGCTATGTCATTTATTGATACAAAATCACACAAGTATTCAACACTTTTTCAGCAAAATTATAGAATAATAAGTGAAAATCATCTTACCTACTGTGCAGGATGTAACAACAATAAAGACGAAGACATGATCTCTCGTGAGGTAGCTAAATTGGTCAGTTCTATATCGTACTTTGTCATTTAGATAGATGAAGTACCCATCGCCAAGCTACCTTCTCTCGTTCCTCTTACAAGAATATCGTAAGTAGTATCATCGGGTTCAAGACCGCGATCAAGCATCTCGTCATGCAACCTAAAAGCTTCTTGAATATTCCCCTCCTTGAAGTATCCGGCGATTAGTGTATTATAAATAAGAACATTAGGAGTCACCTTGTTCTTACACATCTCGTCCAATACCTTTAGTGCATTGTTCACCTGCTTTTTATTGCTAAGACCTTGTACTAGTACGGTGTATGTAATATCATCGGGCGTTATACCCTTTGAAAGCATTTCCGAGTACATATTGGATGCGGGAAGTATTTTCCCGTCCTTTAGCAGCCCATCTATCAAGGTAGTGTACGTTTCCAAATCACACGAGATTCCCTCGTTTACCATTCTTTCATGCAAGGCTAGTGCAGCTTCCATATTATTTACGTTTCTGAACCCGCTAATCATGCTGTTATACAGAATTGTGTTGGGCGATAGACCAACTCCGAGCAGTTCCTCGAAAAGCTCCATTGCGTTCTCCATGTCTCTTCTTTTACAAAAGACATCAATAAGGACACCGTATGTAACAATATCCAATTGGATACCTTTGGCCCTCATTTCATTCAACAGTTTCACAGCAAGATCGATGTTATTGCTTTGGCAAAACCCGTAGATTAAGCAGGTATACGTGACAACATTCGGGGAAATCCCGGTGTCACGCATCTCGGTATAAGCGGCCAAAGCTGAACTCACGGAGCCTTCTTTTAGGAAGCCGTTGATAATGAAATTGTAAGTCATGCAGCTTGGGATTAGGCCGTTCTCTCGGAAGCTATGAAGCATGGTCTTTGCCTCGGATGTTCTGCCAACTTTAGAAAGGCCGTTGATGATGGAGTTGTACGTGAAATCGGTTGGAGCAATCCCGGAAGCCAGCATTTTGTCGAATGTTTCGAGTGCTTGCTCGGCATTGCCTTTACAGAAATGCCCGTCAATCAAAATGCTATATGTGACTGCATTAGCGTTCATATTCTTTTGTAGCAACTCGGAATATAAACTTAACGCTTTGTCCATATCACCATTTCTACAGCTAAGAAGGATCATGTTATTATACGAGGCTATAGAGGGCACAATTCCCTTATCCACCATCTTATCCCATATACTTTCCGCTTCTTTCATCTTCCCGTTTCTGCAAAACCAAGATAACATGCTATTGTACGTGAAAACATTGGCAACGTCACTCATGACCACCTCCTCAAACTGCTTAGTTGCTTCGTCGAATAAGTTGGCTTTGAGGAATCCTCTCAGCAAAGAATTTTCGATATACACCGAAGGCTTGATACCCGCAAGTTTCATTTGAGCGTATAACTCTCGCGCCTTCCCCATTCGTCCCTTGTTACAACACCCTTCAATCAGAACCGCATAAGTGACCTTGTTCGGACTTAGTCCGCCCTCAACAATATCGTCGAGCAAACCCAAAGCATCGTTCACATCGCCCCGCACACAATACCCCTTCATCAAGCTCGTCATGACAACCAAATCCTCCGAATGACCACAATTAACCATCTCCTCCTTAAGCCTTAAGGCCTCAACCATATTCCTTTGCTTCACACAAGCCGAAACTACATTCACATACGTGCCCTTTGACGGGACCCAATTCTTCTCCTCCATCTCATTCAGCAACGAAATTGCACCTTCCACTTTTCCCAACTTACAAGCGGTATAAATAGCAACACTGTACGTGGGTGGATCGTGCTGAATACCACTAGCCTTAGCCTCTAAAAAGTACCTCTCGGCCTCCTCAGCCTCGCCTTCTTTTAAACAAGCACGCATCATTAACCGGACATTAGAACTGGAATATTTAATCCCTCTACACACTACACCATTATACAAATCTTTTGCTTCTGGGAACATTTTATTCCTGACTAACACCTTTGACACTTTACCTATAAGGAAGGGCCAAATCAATATACCATGATCCATCATCGCATTAAAGCAATCAATAGCATCTCTAATCCGCCGAGCTTTAACTAAGCTATCTAGCAAGCTATTAAAAACCACTGGACTCAACTCAAAACTGAATCTTTTAGCACAATCAACAAGACCATCAAATACAGCAGAAGGGGGACCAGAATCCCCTAGCACTTGTTTCAAAATCAGACTCCTAGCTATATGGTGGTGCTCTGAGGAACTTACTAGAATGTGAAGCAAAACATAGAAGGGCTCCCCGGTCCACCGCTGAAAAGCGCACCACTCCATAGCGAGTTTGAATTGCTCAAACGCCGAATCTGGGTTTCCCCTTTGTCCCAAGACGATTTCTACCGCACGGGCTTCCATGAGTTGGGTGTTTTCTGAATTGGGTTTGCTGGGGTCACTGGAAGTCTTGGTTTTCTCGGGCGAGACTGAAGGGGTAAGTGACGGATCGGTAGTGAAGATTGGGTCTTGGGAGGGTGGCAGTGAAGAGGAAGAGAGGGTTCTGTAATGGAGTCTGCGGTAACAACGTAGCCATGGCGAGATTGATGAATAAGGGTTCAAAGATCTCATCGGTGGAGAACACAGCAGCTAAAACCTTAGGAGAACAATCTTGGACCTTAAACCTTAAAACCTTAAACCTCTAAACAGTGAACCCCATTCTTGAGTTTGGCCTCAGCATCAGAATTCAGAATGGGATGAAAACTTGAAACCCCTTCTTTCTCGACAGAATTACGTTTCTGATCCCTAACGATGACCTAAAATTTCACTTTGGTTCCAAACTTTGATGTTTTAGTCGTACAGGGGTCCCTAAATAAACCTCTCTAATAGCAATCTCAACCTCAAGGTTTTTTATCTTTAAAAAAAAAAAAAAAAAAAAAAAAACATTAGCATCCACTATCTCATTGAATATAAAAAATCATTCTCCCCCATCGTTTTAGGGTCCGTTTGAAAAGTAGAAAATTGATTTCTGGAAATGCAACCAAACACTAGGAAGAAAAATAATTTCTGGAAAATGAGTCATTCTCCAGAAAACATTTTACTTCTCAGTGTTTGGTTGCATTTTGAAAAACTTGGTGTGTTTAATTTATTTTCTAAAAAAATGAGTAGAATTGTATGTTAAAACATTTTGGCGGAAAATGACTTCTCCCAAATTGTGGCGGAAGTCATTTTCCGTCAAAATGGCTTCATTTTCCTCAGTCAACGGAAAATGTTTTCCGTTGACTGAATTTTCCTGTTGCATCCAAACATTGAAAACTCGAAAAACATTTTCCATAAGTCATTTTCCAAGTTTCCAAACGGACCCTTAATTTTTTACAAGTTTTGAGTTAATTCCATTTTTTGTCCTAGATTTATATGTGACAGTCTACTTTTAGTCCTTTTTATCGAAACATCCACATTTGGTCCTAGTATTATTATGTCATGACTATTTTTTTTGTCCTCTATCAATAAAATAGTTTTAATGCGGTTAAATACAAAGGAATTTCGGTCTTCAATTATGAATGTTTTCAAAAAAAATAAACATAAATATATAGCGGGGCCAACTCACTATGTATAAAAATGACTCACCGATATTTCAACCATTTTGTTGACTAAGGACCAAAAATGGTCATGCAACAATATACTAGGACTAAATGTGGATGTTCTGATAAAAAATGATTAAAAATGAACTGCCACTTATAAATCTAAGACCAAAAATGAAATTAACTCACAAGTTTTTATGGACCCATCATTTTACACAAACTATATTTAATTATTTATTTATTTTATTATAATTTTAAATTTATAATTGTAATGAAAATTAATTCTTTAAAATAAACATACCAACATTTAATTGAAATGATAATTATAAAATTAAAATTAAACTACTAATTGCTTCAAAATTAAAACCTACTAATTTCTTTAAAATTAAACTACAAAGTTGTTAAAAAAATCTAAGTGCATAAAAAATTAAAATACAAATATTTAAATTAATTGTCGTTATTGATCCATATATGCTTAATCAAATCAACACGAAGTTGATGATGCAATTGCGAGTCATATAAATCGCCGTTTCTTTGTATATATTGTTAAAACTCTTCAATTGAGCATTGCGACGCTTGTACAATTGATCAAATTTCTTTGTCCACCCAATTAATTACGATGTCACCTTAATCATCAACAATCATGTTGTGTAAAATAATGCAAGTATACATTATTTCTCTTTTCATGTACCAAAATTGTCCAAGATCTCTAATCATTGCTCATCGAGCTTGTAACACCCAAAATGCTCCCCATCTACGTCGTTTCGTGTTGCATCTTGTCTTTGTTTAAACAATACGGGGTATTATTTTTGGGTCTATTTGACATGAAAAACTCTTCACAAACATCGACCATTGTGGCTAAATACCGTCTGTAAGATAGTAACCATTTTTATGCTATGTATCATTCGCAATAAAGTTAACCTCTGGTACATATCCTTGTAAAACATCTAAAAACATAAGTTTCAATCCAGGATATGTCCCTGGTTTTATGTCCATTTTTTCTTTTAACTTTTTTAGTACCTTATGCTATAAATGTTGTACTACATAATTTTTTGGACAAAAATATTCATGGCATTATAACTTCTGTTATCTTTTGACACTAGTATTTGCACCTGTGCGATGCACGGTATGTATTCGTTATAATATATGAATTATAATTTGCTTTATATTCGATAGTGTAAATTTGAACGTTTAATTAAGGTTTGTATGAATGTTTCAGAATTGAATTAATTGATCTTATTATCTTTATGTGTAGTAATTTAGCTATAGAAATTTGTGTAACGGAATATATATGTAATATGTAGATATGTAATAATTTTGTTATATTGGTGCAATAAGAATACATAATATAACTGTTTTGAATTACACATTGTTGAAAACCTCTTTGTAGACGACATTAGTAGTAGTAACAGAAGTTTGTCCATCATCGTCTAGAACTAAAACCTTAAGGCCATCAGGATGAGTGCCTCGGTAAAAAGCCACGTACAATTGACCGTGGTTAAAGACTGTTTTTTTCAACAATAATCCAATGTGAGTTAGTGTTTGACCCTGGCTTTTGTTGATAGCCATTGCATATGCTAGCATCAACGGGAATTGTTTACGCTGGAACTTGAACGACAATCTCGTATCAGAAGGGGTGAGAGACATTCGTGGTATAAGTACTTTGGTTCCTTGCTGCGTTCCATTAACTATTCTTGCTTCAACAATATTTATATGATCCGCCAATCTTGTAACGATGAGGCGCATAGTGTTACAAAGACAAAGAGAGTGGTCTATGTTCCGCAGTAACATAATAGGTGCACCAACCTTTATTGTCAATGAATGATTAGGAAGTCCAGACAATCTCAAACTATTTAAAAATTCAGGAGTATGTACTTGTGAGAGATTATCACCATCTGATTCTGCCTTACACAAAGAGTAACAGCTTAGATACGTCCGACCTTCTACAGTGTTCATGTCACACATATACTGATTAATTTGATCAACATCTAAAGTCGGTGAGAGGATCGCTCGTCCTTCTAGGTGCAACTCTTCTAGCATTCCATACTTCGCGGCTGGGAAGATGCTTTCGACTATAGTTGCAATTGGATTAGGTCCACACTTTAACATAAACCTTGGTGGAATATCGATCTCAAACAAACCATTGTTTACCAACCCTGTAATCTCATCTACAATGTCTGCAATCCATGTTGATAACCAATCAACCGTCTGTCTATCTTCGTTTGAAGCTAAGCTCTGTAGTCTCAGGTTCTTCGTGAGTCTCAGTACCTTGCAATTCCTCCAGAGGTATGAAGAATTAATAGTGGCTCCCACAACCATTGGTCTCGTTGCTTTTGGAATAACTGGAAGAATCTGTCTAAAATCATCACCCAATACTACTTTCTTTCCACCAAATATTTTCTGATCACTACTAGGTACGGTGAATCTCAATATACCCCTCATGGTTTTGTCTAAAGCCTCAAAACTGTATTTGTGTGTCATCGGTGCTTCATCCCATATTATCAATTTACACTTGATTATAAGTTTGCAAAGGCCAATACCTTGCAAGATATTGCAGGTGGAATCTTCATTCACTGAGAGTGGTACAGCAAATCGAGAATGCGTTGTCCTGCCACCCGGCAATAGCAATGATGTTATTCCACTTGAAGCAACGTTTAGAACAATATCTCCACGGCTCCTTATCTTTGAAGATAATGTTCTCTACACGAATGTCTTGCATGTTCCTCCGTAACCATACACAAAAAACAATCCCCCTCCGTTAGAATCAATATCATTAATCACAAGTTGTAAACAACATTCTGTTCGTCCGTCAATTGAGTTACCAATGTTTCATGCTCTGCATTCAATAATTCCTTGTCGTACGCCAACTCTTCGGATATCAACATGTTTTCCGTCAATCCAATGTTGTTTTCTTGTGGAATCGGCATTTTCGAATAGTCGCTCAGGCTCATGGGTGAAAATATTATGTTTATATATGCTTAATCGAATGGCTAGCACAGCAGTCCCAGTGCAGCATGATCGTTTGGGCTTCAACTTGTTTTAAAGTGCCATTTTTTCTTTACCTGGACCTTTAAAATCATGGTATGCATTGATCAATATTTACAATCATTTTATTTATAATGCTCGCAGTCATGGCAACATCTCAACATGAAATAAACAAATGATGTTCTTCTGGTTGGTATTGAAAAATATAGTCTTCAAAAATATATATTGCTGTTCAATAATTTGGATTGCAAATTTGAAGTTATTCCATTCTCTTTGTTTTATTTTAGGCAAGAAAGCATCGAGACTTATAAAATAGTGTCTGACATGCATATAAAAGAATACATATTTAGTGAAACTTTTTAGGATACGTTATGCATGTAGATTATCATTAGTCTCTTTTAGTATAACTTTTTGTTTTATTGAAGCTTAGAGCAAGAACAAGTCTTGGGCAATCAATGATTTCTGGTGATGTCTCCGCATGAATATTATGTCATGCGTGAACACTTTTTCTATGTTGATACAGTGCACAAGTAATATCATTTTATGTGATCTATAAACCTGATTTTGCTTCTAGAATAAAGGCTTTTTGATAGTTAGGGACACACATTTCTGTTACTTAGAATTTGCAAACTACTTTGCAAATGTTCTCATGCAAATTCTTGGTTTTTGTCAAAAGCTTTAGAAACAGAATGTTTGAATATAAAGGGATTAATAAAGTTTGGAAGGGGGAACTCTCAGAAGAAAAGGCTAGGACATTCTCAAAAGCAAATTTGAGGAGGAATAATAGAGAAAAAATGTCTGTTGAAACAGTTGATGCAACCCAAACATCTGGACATTCCTGCTGTTGTACAGGATGACGGTTTGTGCATCGTATGTTTAAGAATTTTAAATGTAAATGGAATTTTAAATACGCAATCAAATTCATTTAGATGTATCCACATTCCTAGATTTTTCCACCACATTGAACTTTGTATCTAGCATACCGCGTATCATATGCCTTGTTAAAAGATGAGCATCTTGTGGACTTGATATGATGTGCTTGCCTTGGGGGTGACAAAGTTGCCTAAATCAATCTTTATAATCTTACTTTTGAAGTAGTGATTTTTTTTTTTTTTTTTTTTTTTTTTTTTTTGCATCTTAGTTATGTTGTTGATACTTAATTGCTACTTACAGCTTGTAGTAAATGAATTGAAAAAAAATGATGATTACAAAGCTCCCCAAGTGAAGTTTTTTTGCGTTTTAAAGTGTTGCAAAGTAATCAACAACATGATCTTTAATGTGTCAGCAGCACATGATAGACTGCATGGAGCTGAAAATTTTGTTCTCTTGCTTATACATGCTACCATCAAGGCAAACTCTCATTAGTAATAAGTGTTTCTTTAGTTATCATAAACTAAATATTTATGAAAATTTCCCAACATATACTCAAACTATCTTGATCTGACATGCATATTTTCCTTTAATTGTGTTTCTCATATGCAGATTTGTTTGCTAACTAAAAGCATTACTTTAATAGTGCACTAATAAATACCTTTTTATCAATAGACCCAACTCATGAATGGTGTACCATTTCATTTAGATGTTCATGCAAATATAGTTGATGAGAGTCCATAATCATCCAATGGACCACCCTGTAATGGATATGAACCAGCAATCTGGATCATGAACACAACTCATAATTAGAAGGTAAGTTGTTTTTGAATCACTGTAAATAGAGCATATAATTTTTATTTTTATTTTTACAATTCTTTTTCTGTTATCTTTGTTCCATGGTAATATAGCGTTGAATAATATTTTCACGAATAGTATTAGAAGTACAAAGTGTAAAAATTAAGAATCATAATGCAATTTGAAATAAAAACTAATTTGCCATACAAACACAATTGTCTTTAAAAACCAACATCACCAACTAAAAGCTAACAGAATAACCCATCTGTTTAGCATTTAGTATATTAAAACAAAACAAATCACCAACTAAAATGACCAACTAAAATTTATATTGTTTATGATTAAACAAAATCAAATGTTTATAGAGTATCATGGATTTGGTTCATTCTTAGGCTTTTTTAAAGTCTTTGAAGATGATGAACAATCCATATTTGTTTTCTTCAAAGACTGCTGGTCAGGAGTGCTTTCATCAAGGGAGATCACTTCTGGATTAGTCAATGATATAGCTTGCAATGGTTCAATCCCTTAGTTGGAAAACAATTAAAAACATTAGCATTAAAGACATTTAAAATACTCTATAAATGTGAGTGTTATTAATAATTATTGTTATTATTATTATAGCCTATGGTAGTTAATATGTGGTGTTAGATTAAGTCTAATGTAATAGCCTAGTAGATAGGAGAGTTTAGAGGTAGACTTTGATATACACTCCTGTAATCCTATCTACCAGTAACTGAATTGATTTTGAATTCTCATCTGGTATCAGCCTAATCGATCCAAAAACACTTTTCTCTCTCCTCCAAAATCCCAAACCACCGTATCGATTTTTCTTTTTCCCCATGTTGTCGAATTCCTCTCAGGCCTCTCCCTCACCCGCCGATGGCTCATCCTCGGCCGGATCAAACCCTTTAGCAGGAGCACACCATTTTATTTCAATGAAACTCAATTCCCGAAACTTCTTGTTTTGGAAGACTCAGATCATTCCGTTCCTACGGGGGCAGGAATTGGAGGGTTTCATTGACGGAACTCATCCGTGTCCGCCGGCAATGCTCACCACCATGGGCGGTGACTCCGGCACCGATGCGACAACCTCCACCCCGGCGCCGAATCCGGCGTACAAGCAGTGGGTGCGCCAAGATCAATCCATCCTGTCCCTGTTGATCTCGGCGATGTCGGATGAGGTTCTCCACCTCGCAGTTGGCAGGTCTACCGCGGCGAAGGTGTGGCAATCGGTGTGTACGGCGCTAGGATCGACGACTCAGGCGCGATGTCTGAACCTGCTTGGCCAGTTCCAAGCTCTTCGACAAGGCAACGCCACTCCCACGGAATATCTCGGCAGGGCCGAGTTGTTGGTCGAAGCTCTTGTGCAAGCCGGACAGCCGCTCACCATGTCAGAACAGAACTTATATGTCCTCCGTGGATTGCGGCCTGAATATCGTTCGTACACGGCTGCTCTCACTGCCAACGCCCTGGTGTCTCTGCCTCAATTAGCCGATTATTTGCAAGCTGCTGACTTTATACTTGCAGATGAATTCTGCACTGGTGGTGGCAATGGAGGACCGCCTACTGCGTTCTATGTTGGTCGGAATCCGCAGCAGAACGGCCGTGGCAGTGCTGGGCATAGTGGTGATGGCGGAGGCCAGAATCACCGCGGTGGCCGGGGCGGACGCAACCAGCGCGGAAATCGAGGTGGTCGTGGTGTGCCGAGGTGCTAAATCTGCAGGGCTCAGGGACATACTGCGGTGTACTGCTATAAAAGGTACACCACGCAACCGCCGACCCAGGCGAATGTTGCGGTCTCGGGAGAATCGCCAGCGTCCACTGCTTCCCCATCTGAAACGTGGTATCCCGATACGGGCGCTACCGCACATGCGACTCCTGATGCCGGCATGCTGACTGCATCGGATGAATACAATGGCCCGGACACCCTCCGGGTCGGGAACGGTACAGGTTTAGTAATCTCTCGGGTTGGCCATGAATCAATCCCGTCCGAGTCCAAACAGTTGTTTCTGTCAAATGTGTTACATGTTCCTAATTTAACTGTCCCGTTATTGTCTGTTCAAAAATTTGCTACTGAAAATCATGTGTTTTTTGAATTTCACTCAAATTGTTTCATTGTGAAGGATTCCAACACCAAGGTAATATTGCTTAAAGGTCCAACCTCCGGAGGTCTGTACAAGTTACCCGTGTCCCGGAGTCATTTTGCCTTCGTCGCGTCTTGTGCTTCGCCCACGATATGGCATCGCAGGCTTGGGCATCCTCACCGTGTCGTCCAGAATAAAGTTCTTAAACACTGTCCAGTTCAGCACAATAATGTCAGTTTAGAGTCATGTAATGCTTGCCATCTTGGCAAATCTAGTTGTTTTCCTTTAAATAGAATTGATAAATCGAGCGAAAATGTACTAGATTTAGTTTATACAGATATTTGGGGGCCTGCTCCAATTATCTCGTCTAGTGGCTTTCGGTACTTTTTATTGTTCGTCGATGATTATTCCCGATTCACCTGGTTTTATCCATTAAGGGTGAAATCGGACATCTATAAAATGTTTCATTTGTTTCGTGTCTTGGTAGAGCGGCAATTTTCGCACTCTATCAAATCCATACAGTCCGATCTAGGGGGTGAGTATCGCAAATTGCATACCACCTTCGAAACTCTCGGGATAAATCACCGTCAATCCTGTGCATATACGCACGAGCAAAATGGAAGGGTTGAGCGCCGCAACCGACACATTGTCGAAACGGGCTTGGCTCTTCTTGCTCAAGGGTCGGTCCCACAACAGTATTGGGATTTTGCCTTTGAGACTGCAACGTGCTTAATCAATTATCTACCCTCTTCTGCTATAAACTTTGAAAGTCCGTACTATAAACTCTACAAAAAGCAGCCTCCGTATCAATTCTTAAAAGTCTTTGGGTGTCAATGTTACCCACACCTAAGACCCTATAACTGCAATAAAATCGAGTACCGGTCCACTCCATGTGTCTTCTTAAGTTACCCACCATCTTTTAGGGGATATAGGTGCATGGATCTAATCAGTGGGAAAACTTATACCTGTCGCCATGTTCGTTTTAACGAATCCGTGTTTCCCTTTGCAACAGGTAGTTTACCACAAGTGGCCGAGTCACAGCTCGTACCATGGGCTTCTGCACCCGTAGTACCAGTGCAGGGTACTGGGTACACTCCTGCCTTGGCTCCTGATCCTGAGCCATTAGCTCATGAATCACCTCCTTTAGCCATTGAGCCACCTGCTCCTGCGGCTCGTGGACGAGGTAGGCC